AAATGCATGATTAGTTTGGGTTAAAAATATATGAATATTAATTACCTAATCACTTACATAATTAGTTGACTTCTGTGATCGAACTTCACATGGTTATGATAGTAATTACTTGTCTTCATTGTACTTTGAATGTATTGTACGGTTCAAATCATGATTCACACCTTACATGTGCCTGATATTTTTCTAACACTTCATTGGCTAATTAATCACACTGACATTATCTTCTTGCATTTTATCAACAATGACAGCTTAATGACGTGATTCCGTTCACTTTTTTACAAGCAAGCAGGGACTCAGTAGCTAACATTCGACCATGCACCTGATCCAGACATGACATTTTAACAAGACATAATAACATAAGAGTAGCCCTCTTGTTTTAAGAATATTACCAGTCAATGACTCAAAACTCGAAATCAATTACCCCATTTAGTGCAGTGGTTTAGCCTGGTATTTGGGACTGAACCCCTCCCCAGAGTATAACAATTCACAACCATGTTTTTTCATTGCATTGGGGTCTCTGGGGTGGGAAATAGATGGTTGTGAAAAAATGTAGGTCGTTTAACATATATTTAAGGTGCAATTTGCGTAATGGCGTCTTTACGAATTAGGATACATTTGACGAAAGGTTGTGTTATTGTCACATTCTTTAACATATATGCATATATTTAGTATTTTTGTAAAACCTTGTTCTATCAAGATATTGACAACAGTAATGATAATATTTAGCCAGATTTTTTTTTCATTGAAAAAATCTCTTTTTTTATTGATTTTTGCTTCAATTTTAGGTTCAGCATGGCATTAGTTTCAAACAAATCTCGAATTTGGAATATATAATCAGGTCACAATTCCCATAAAACAATCTCTGATTATCTTGGTTGTACTGAAACCCCATTCTGCTATAATTTGTATAAATATATGTGTTGTTTATTTGCGAACAATGGCGCTATACTAAATAAATTACAGTCATTCACGAGTCTCTTTCTATCATATTTATGTATGCATATCAGTATGATTACACGATTACATTAGTTAGTAAAGCTGATTATTTCTAGAGAAACTCTCTTTCTCTAATTAAATGTTTTTCTTAGTCATCATCTGAATTGTATGCATCATCATCAGACTGTTCTGCAAGGTCCTCTTTGACGTCGCTGCAAGAAGTATCTGATTTACAACATGAGCATACTTCTGTGCATAACAGACCAGAAGTAATGCAGTGGCATTTTCTTGCAATGGTACAGTTGTCATCTGTGCAGTAAAGATGAGTGAGATCTCTCACTTCTAATGGTGTTGCTTCTCCCATAAACAGGACTGGCTCAAAATTTCCTTCCCCGTTTTTCTTCCACCCACTACCTTCTGGGTTCCAAATTTCTGGTTGAGCCTGGTGACTTTTTGTCCAGATGGCAACCTGGTATTTGGCATGCATGACATGTTGATTGAATGCGTGTAGGTGGGAAAGATGAAGCTGGCTTGTCTGTTTGAGTGGCAAAATGGTATCTTAGCTCATCTAGAGTAGTGCATTCATGGATTCTCTTCTTTCCTTTGTAAAGGGCAATTACAAACTTACGTGCAGTTGGTAGGCTTTCGTTCAGATTTTGTGATTCTCCAAATGAAGCAAGAGCAGGCATTTTCTTGGCATGCTGGAGAAGTTTACTGTATGCTGCACGTTTGCCAATCCTGAACAGACTTGATACTGTGTCACAACCAGTTAGTGCATGAGCAGCTGGCAATGCTTGAGACACCTCAGGGCCAAGTTTGTCACATATTTCATTTACTGGTATGAAACGTTCTTTGTTTGTATGACCCGCATGCATATAGACCAAAGCAGACAGCTGACACTTACTATAATAGTAGCCCAAAAGAACTAGTACATCTGTATCGTCTGCACGAATAACAATTCTATGATTTGACTCTGATATATCAACAGCATGCAGCAACATTCTTGTGTCTGCTTCCTCCTGTGTACACAACATGTTCTCTGGATCTGTAGGCTGGTTTTTCATGATCATTTTGGCCTGCTTTCCATCTGTGAAACCACCAGCCAGGGTAATGCTCTGGTTTCCTGATAACATTGCAAGGGCTTTTTACTGAGACTCCGTGTCACCTCTGCTGAAGCTACTTGGCCAGTTATAATATTGATGAGCATGGAAGGAACAGTATCCAAATCAAAGGGATTTTGATTCTGATTTAAGATATCAACAACATTTGCTACATCAGACTCATCCTTTGACATCCTGCTTCATCCTAGATCCCCATGGATCCTTTTGTCTGATGTTTGATGGCACATGTTTCTGAAGGCATCGGAAAATTCAGCTGTCACATATCGAGTCAGAAGCCAGCGATTAAGTGCATCTTTTCGCAGGGTGAGTCCAATAATGCCCCCTGACTCTTACCTTCTTTATTAATAGTTTGTTCTAGCGCTTGGTCAGTACTAACAGCATTGAAATTGTAGTATCCAGTGTGCCGAAACACAAATGCACTTTGGCATAAATGTTGATAGGACTCTGGGTGTTTCTGCTCTAGATTTTTCATATCTGTTATGTAGCAAGGGACTTGGCATAGTTAATTCTACCTGCAGCACGGAACCATGGAAGAGCTTCACACATAGCATTCAAATGGAGTTCAAACAAATCATATCTTTCTACCTACAACATATGAAGCAGCACTCTCGCCCCTTTCATGAAGTCATCCCAGTAGGCGAATGTGGTTGACTGTGCTCTGCCTACTGTTGTGAACTTTTTGATAGCATCCATGATTGTTGATAGGTCATCTTCCATTATTTCTTTTACAGAATTCCTAGAAGTTTCATGATTTGTTGAACTAAATACATGTTGTAGGTCTTGGAGCTTCTGTTGTAAAGTGTCATCTACTGGATTGCGATTTGACTTTTCTAACCAGACCTGGAAAGATGCATAGAATACTCTGAATAAAGATTCATAAACAATCTTTACCCCGCGAATTCCACGGGCAACTTGGTTACCTTGCAGCATTTGTCTGGCTGTGGCTTCAGCATATGTGTTAGACTCAGTCCAGAGTGACAGCAATCCCCACTACCATACAGCTTTCCTAAGGAAGCTAACATGGCCATGGATGTGTGCATCCCACCAACTCGGATGGTTACCCGTCCATCCAGTGTTGGCGGTTTCATCCACAAGATTTGCTGGGCTTTACTATAAATTGCCATGTCAGCAGTAATCAGCATGTGTGACTGACCAATCTTCGTTGACATCTTAACTAACTTGTTGCGGATCGTGTATATGGTTGAGAGATCAGATGGTGGTGCTCGGATAAATGGCATATAACGTATTGTTGTTGTTGGCAAGTTTCTGTCAGATAGGGTTGAATTGAAACCTGTCCAAGCAGGGATCATTTGTTGTGCATCATCGGCTTTGTGAAGACGTCCAAAAGCCCACAGTAGGTTTCTTTTCTCGGCATCTGTGTAGCTTACTGCTGTTCTTTGAACATTGATGTCTGATAATTTTTGTACATCTGGAGGTTCAGGGCGCCTTGATGGTTTGTTAATAATGCATCATTCATATTGAAAGCTTGTACAGATGACAGCGACTTCTGTGGTACTCTAGGCACTCGACACTCAGATGGATCAACATCTCTTATATACTATAGCTGCCATGGCATGAGTTGTAGACTTGCCGTCAAGAGTGTCTTCGTTTTGGTCGAAGTTATCAATTGCAGCATCAACAAGTATGGAGTCAGCTTCTTGATGCAACCATCTGGGAATGAATTCTCCTTCATGTTTTTGATCAAGTGCAACAGATGTGAGAAATCGTCCAATTTCATCATATGATACACAGTATCCTAGGGAATGCAGTTCCTCTATGAAAGTTTTGCTTCCAAAGTTGTGGTGAATACGAATACCAAGTGCAAGTGCAATGGGTGTGCGCACCTGCTGACACTGGTTAATCAGAGTATGACAAATAGAAATTATTTTGAGATCATTTTTGTATTGTCCATCATCACAGCAGCTGGAAACAATCTTGAACGCACTTTCTTTTACACACCATATGACAAAATCATACATGATGCTAGGGACATACTCACTACAGTGTTCAACATTGATACCCATACTGGATGTGTACGTGTCCTCGTCCTTAATACCAGCCATGCTCACTCGCAGTATAGAAGCTGCCATATGTAAAACTTGTTTATCATCTAATTGAGTAGGCTGCGTACCCAAATCCTCAATCCGTGTTGCTATTGTCTACATATGACTCCTTCTGTAGAGCATCACCTACTGTCATATTATTTGAACAAACCAAATCAGAGCGTCCAGGCCTTTCAATGAAGACGAGCTTTCCGGCAAAATGATTAACAAGTCGTTGTTTCAGCTTCCACGATGTCAAAGGCTGTCTGGTCAGGCTGTACAAATTTTCTCTGGGCAGCAGAAATGTTCCTTGTACTGATATAGCTTTGATAGCAGGTTCTGTGATATTTTGCAAATCAAGATTTGTCAGCATACGGTGATAAACAACATCATCCTTCCTTTTTTCTGATGCAGTTAACACTTTTTCTCTTGTACTCTTGCCAGTGTCTGTCTGAATTTGTGTCAGACGTTCCTTGTATTGATTACTTTTACCACAAATGAAACAGTCACTTCGTATGTCAAACCCAGAAGTTTCAGTTCTGCTACTTTTCGTAATGATTGTGTCTCAGATGTTGAAGAAGATCCGGACTTGGTTGAGCTTCCAGATGTATTGTCCATCATGTACATATAATTGTTTGATGAACTGGTATATGCTGCTCTACACGACTTGTGGAATGACACTTTCAGACTATTTGATCGAAGTTGATCTTCCACTGGTGATAGAGCTTCAAATACATCATCTCTACGTGCATGTGCATTCTTTAATATTTTTAAAATACCTTCTGGGGTTGGATTTTTCACTATCTTATCTTTGACCTTCAATTTGCTGAGTGCCTTGAAGCAAATTATACATTTGTCTGTATCCAGTCAACGTTTCTTCTCTGGTGGTGCACAATCCATCATGCTTTCGTCAGCTAATGTAGTTAGCAGGAAAAAATTGAAAGGGGCAGGGTTAACTTTGGAAGTTCACAATACCCACTACCACGTGCACTCTGAAAATAAAAAGATGCTTTATGTTAATGCAGACAGATCACTGTCACTGCAATGCACCCATGTAATCATACCGACATCAACAGAAGAGACGAAAGACGACAATGTCATTTGTAGCACTGGAGCTATGGTCATTTAAACCATATTACTTTATTGGACAACACACAAATTATAGAAAAACTAGTTTTCAGTACAATCAGAGATAATCAGTGATTTTTTTCTGGTAAGTGTGACCTGATTATATATTCCAAATCTGAGGTCTTTTTGAAAATTTTACCATGCTGTAACAGAAATTGAAGCAAAAAAAACGTTAAAAAAGTAGTTATTCAGCGAAAAAAATCTAGCTAAATATTATCAATGTTGCTGTCAATATCTTGATAGAACAAGGTTTTACAAACAAAATGACACCAATTATATGCATATATGTTAAAGAATGTGACAATAACACAACTTTTCGTCAAAGTTATCTTAATTCATAAACACGCCATTACGCAAATTGGTAATTGCACCTAAAATATATGTTAAACGACCTAAATTTTTTCACAACCATCCATTTCCCACCCCAGAGACCCCAATGCAATGAAAAAACATGGTTGTGAATTGTTTTACCCTGGGGAGGGGTTACTCTCTTTTCTGAGCCCTTATATCAGAATAGCCACAGCACTAATTTCCACATATACTGCTCTAACCTATTTTCTTCAAATTAGAAAATTTAAGTTATGCCACATATTGGTAAGATAACACCCCAAAAAGGATTCCAAGGGGCCAGGCCTGCGTGAATTCTAGCTCAAGATAAGGACACACAATCTCACATGTTCTTGCACAGGGTGAATTACTACACACCAGCCAGATAGTCGTGATGGTTCCTGGACAATATTGGGTTTGCATATAACCCACAAACATGCATATACTACAAAAATACACGAGTTGAGAAACAAGTATGTAATTTGTGTTCTGCAGAGTGATGACAACCTGCCATTGGAAATCAAAAAATAGCTGGACTGCTGTTACCTCGAGAATCTCACCACGGATTGCCCTGGTGATATAACATGGTAGGACAGAACATCACTAACATCACACACACTGATTTATAGACAGTGTATATCAGGTTTACTGTTATTATTATGATTTATCATGAATCACTGTTTCTCATTAGAGTGGCCTAGCAAAACTGTTGTTGGTGTGGTTCATGGGAGCAAGAAAGTCGGTAGATTTTCTGAGTGCTGCAACCCAGTGTTTGATAGAAACAGATAGTTCAGATGAAATAAACTTGAAACGCATTATTTCGCGATTCAAGTCAGGGGTAGTTTTAACATTTTATTTTTTTGTATTACCAGATTGCCCTTCTGGAACATATGGAGCTGGATGTACACAGACATGTCACTGTACCAATGGATGTAATACAAAAGGGGAATGTATTAGTAGTCCTGGTGTTTGTGATACAGGATGGAGTGGTAATAGGTGTAAAGGTATGACTATGATATCACATTAGATATGCCAGTTTACCAATGGGTGTAATTAAAAAAATGAAAATGTATTAGCAATTCTGGTGATTATGATACAGATTGG